TACATCTTGCAGAGTCATATTCCCGCATCATTGTGAGGTCAGATGACACAGATGTGGAAGTACTGCTCATATATTATGCACATGTTTGGTTCATCTCTAGTGTACTTGCATGCAGGCCATGGAATGAGAGAGAGATATGTCCCCATCAACACCATATGTGTGAACATTGGAAAAGACATGTCTAACTGTCTACCAGCATGTCGTGCACTCACTGGCTGTGGCTCAACAAGTAGTTTGTACAGAATAGGAAAGACAACAGCATTCACCAAAACTCAAGACCCATCTCAGCGAGCTCAAAGATCTGGCCCATTTTGGACTCTCTGCCAGCTTGGAAGAGTCTTTGCCAGTCGCAAGAGAAATTGCGCTTCTGCTATATGGAAAAAAGGAAATTGGACTGATGTGCACAAACTTGGAGGAACTGAGGTTCATAATTGCATCAACAACAGATGCCGCCTCAGAAAATCTGCCGCCAACAGAGGAGCCCGAACCCAAACCCTTGTTATGGAGTCCTATTGGCAAGGGGTGGATTGTCAGAGATGGGGCCATTCAACCAGTGCTATTTACAAAACCTTCAGCACCTACAGAAGTGAGACACATTACTCACTTGTATTGCAAAGATGCAAAGTGTGGAGAAAGTGCAAAGTGCCAGTGCCTTTTGGTGATGTAGGACAGCCACCTGGTTCATACCTCAGCAAATCTGAAGAGGAAAAGAGTCATCATTCTCAAGTTATGGGCTTTTTTGTCACCTTTCCCATATTCGGCCTGGTCTAATTTGGCTCTTTTTCAGGGATTGGGGTAGTTCTAAAGAACAACCAAAAAAACATTTTGCTCCCCCAAAATAAAATTTGACAACAATCAATTTCATTAATGGGAGACCCTAAAGATAAGAACAATCATTGTTGTCATTTGTCCTACCTCGGGTAGGGGTATCTCGAAAACTAAAGCCTTTTTTGAGGACTTGCTGCTAGACTATTGATTAAGACCATACTTCCTGAAAGTAACTTTCTCATTAAGTAATTTTTTGACGAAAGTAAAAAAAACACCTTTATGTTTTCTCTTCAGATGACTGATTGGGAGAGTGAGTCACTCTATTTAAATCAGCATGAAGAAAAAGGGAGACTGTATTGTAAATGAAATATGATGAATTATAAGGCACATACTAAGAGTCATAATAGACATGGCTTTTCATAATCTGTTGTTTTGCACTGTACAAAAACAAGTTTAGCTTTTACTGGGTCTTTTGATTGTTTGCTCTTAACAAAAGTTCCTTTACTAATGTAGCACTCATTACCGCTCTTACTGTAACCAAACACTACAAAGTTTCTTCTGGTCTTGGGCTCTTTTATGTACACCACACAGGCTGCATGTCAAGTCATTTTAATGCTCAGATGCTGCAGCACTTTCACTCTCAGTGGTTGTAACCACCACAGCACATTATCAGTGCAGGAATGCTATTTTCAGCTCTTCGACTCTTATTTAACATGTACACGTTCTGATACCGAGCTCACGCAGAGCCGGTTTGACTCAAATGGTTTCCCTTTTAAGATGTTTCCCGAGACTCTGACATGGAGAGCGTGAGATAGTTGCGTTAGCTGTCATTAGATGGCTGCTTTAAAAGGGGCATTCCAAAGAAAACTACCCCATTACTGCTGCTCGTTTTCCCCTGCAGGTTTCCCAACAGCAAACACGGCTGCATACAAACGTGACTTACCGAAACCAGCACAACGTTTCCTTCAAATGCAAGTGTGACCGATTAACAGTTAAATTAACATGCGTTTGTTTTGATCTTGATCGTACAGTCATTACAAGGAACATGGCGGATTTCGAAAAAGGATGTAAAGTTCTCCATCTCAGGGTGTTTCTCAATGTCGAGGACGCTTCCTTGGTAGGACATGTCTTCCGTGTCACTTCATTCAGAAGCTAGGCAAGAATCCTTCCTGGCATTCGGAAAACGAAGAGTGGAACAGGCAAGCAAGTGTGCAGGTGTGCGTCATATGAGAGGCCCCGCCTTAAATTTTCCGCCACAGATTTGGGGAAATTAGTCCGTGCGCAAACCATTGTGGGGATTTTAAGACCACGGAGGATACACATGTGAAGCCTCGAAATGTCTCGCTACGACGGACGCTTGGTAGAATTCCAAGGAGCCTGGACATTGGAACAGTCCTTCGGCGGGACTCGATGACGTAGCATCCTTGAAATAGTGGCTCTGGAGGAGCCTTCCTAGACATTGAGAAACACCCTCTGTATCAAAACAAGTTGTCATTGTTACTAATGGCGTTCAAAGGCTTTATTTTCATATGCATAACAGCTATAGCGTACTCCAACAGTGCAACATGCAATACAATTAAGACATTGAAAGAAAAATACATCAAATAGTGCAAGTAAAATGCAATAAAAAAATAAACCTTGTACATGTTAAATAGAAAACCGTGGACAGAATGTAAAACTAAAATGTACAATACTGTACTATGAATACATTCATCAGTATTCCTTACGGGTAATATCTATAATATATGGCTTAATGGGGCAATCTGTTGAGTTATTTTATCTTGTTCAATATTAACACAGACAGAAACATATTTTCTAACCCTAAGGGCACATTCAGCCTGATATTAGCCCTCAGGCAAAACAAGAAAATGGCTTACAGCATGTGCTAAAGTCTAGTTTAAAAGCAGAGGCAAAGATACTGCACTGCTGTTTAAACACTGAGGCAGGACCACACCTCTATTTCATTTAAAAATACCCCGCCACAAATAAGGGTGTTGAATTTAGCGTATACTTTAAAGGTTTTATGATATAATGATGTCCCGGGAAAATATATGGCTCTTCACAGCTCTATAGACACAAAATCTTGCACTTATTTTTTGGGCTAAAACTTTCGTCAGTTTGTTGTTATTGTTGGTAATAAGTGGAATTTACCCTGATAAAGACCTCTATATGTTGAACCTTATGTACTGTATGTGTCTCACATGATACTGATGGAACAGTGATGGGAAGTTGCCAGCAATCTCTTCAAACTCTTTGAGTTCTCCTGTATTTCTTTTTGAATGGATTCATCACTTACTGTATCTATAGAGTAATGAAAATGCTATGCTTATAGGTGAAAGCCCTTAGCTACAGTAGTTATGCTTGTCTGGTGAACATGCCTTCAGTGAGTTTGGCTTAAAGCTGATTTATAGCCATATTATTAAAACACTAAATACATGCAATAAAGGTTAGATAGATAAATGACTAAGCACAAACATATTTTGTTGACTGGACACTCAATTAACTTGTCTTTGTCTAGATGCAGAGGGGAAAGGAAGAATGGAAGGAAGAGAAGAGAATGGGAGAGGAGAGAAGGGAGGCAGGGCGTGGTGGGTCAGAGGGAGGGAGGGGAGGGGAGGGAGGATCGGAGATAGGTCGACTGACTCAGTCACATTCCTGTCGTCCAGATTTATAGTGACTCGGGGTCCTGAAACAGGCCCGGAGCCACGGCCAAATTACAGTCATCTACAGCATTCCTGTGCTGCAAACACAGGTTAGCAGCCTGGCCGCGCTAAGTGCTAGGTGCTGCCTGTTGACAAATGACTTCCTTTGAAGGGCACAAAGACAGAGACAGAGAGAGACTGGATATTTACTCATGAGGGCACAGAGTCAAGCAGTCTGTGTGTCTTTTTGATGGAAAACAATATGGCTAAAAGTAGAATTGAAGAATACGAGATGGTTTGTTTGTGTGTGTGTGTCTATCTGTATCTCTGTGTGTGTTTTTATGTGGGGACTTCGCTTGTGTAGAGTAAACCAGTGAAAACCAACTGGCGACATCAGCGCCCCGTGGAGGGTCCCATGCACACACTCACACACAGCATCATGACACACTAAATCCCCTTTACCAATGGAGGAAAACACAGTAACATCTGGCTTTTGTCTTCGTTGGGAACGGTTACAATCTGCTCTCAGTACCGGGACAAATGACTCTGCAGTAATCGTGGATATTTATCGGCTCTAAGTCCTATCTGCATCGGCACACGGGTGAAAACGCACATTTTCCTAGTTTTTCCAGGACTGAAAGCAAATTAGCTTTAAGTAATCCAAACATTTAATGGACAATATATAAAACATTTTTTATTCAAACTCCTCATCAAAATTATATTTTCTAAGTGTTTCTATACAATCATCATGGTTGTTTTGAGAGTTTGAAAAGGATACCGGATCATTTTCAGAAAATAAGTAACTGTAGTTCTCTGCACTATCCCTCTTTTCCAGACGTCAAACATAACTCACCATAAAAAGAGACCCTCGACCACTATGGGAAAGGAGTCCATCTCCTATGTTTTTTACGGGTTTTCGAGTGTTTAAAAAACCCTGTAAATACGCACTACTTTCAATGCAAATAGGGTTTAACCATAGACTGTATTAACACACTCACAGGTTCACAAAGGATGGGAACAGAGGTCTATGATCTGTTTTAAGAGCATCTTTGTGTTTAATACCAGGTTCCCAGACTACTAATAGCACTAATAGCCCATCAAACCCGGGGCCAGCCTGAGGGCCGCCGACATGACCTGACATGTTTGTGTTTTAAAAAACAAAAACCAGAGATGCGGCATCATTTACTGTGTGTGTGTGTGTGTGTGTGTGTGTGTGTGTGTGTGTGTGTGTGTGTGTGTGTGTGTGTGTGTGTGTGTGTGTGTGTGTGTGTGTGTGTGTGTGTGTGTGTGTGTGTGTGTGTGTGTGTTTGTGTGATGTCTTAACTGATGGAAACAAACAACACAGGAAAGAGTGATTACATGGATGTTAATATATATGTGTGTGTGTTTTTGTGTCTTTCCTTCAGGCATTCACAGGCACCAGTCCCAGGACCTCTCGGGGTATTACTCCCTCCCTCCAGGCGGCGTTGGACAGATCAGTCCCTCCATGGGCTGGTGAGTCACACACACACACACACACACACACACACACACACACACACACACACACACGCACGCACACACAGGTATATCTGTACAGTACTGTGATGACCTTGTTACTGTATAACTCTTCCCTAACTTTAAAGGAATCGCCATGTTTTCTCTAACATAATGAAAAATGAGAGCTACAAATATTTAAAATTGAGTAATCTAGTCTTAAAAAAATATATAATACATTTGATAATTGATTTATCCTTTTTTCGTGTTCTTTAAAAGGCTCATTTTTCATTTTCCTGGTTTTCTTCTGTGACAGTAACCTTAATATCTTTACATTTTGGAGTAAAGTTTGAATTTAAGTATGTCGTTTTTTTTCTTTTTTATATCTTATTGAAAGAAAACGGGAACAAAATTCTTCATCAATAATGAAAATATCCTTTTTCCCCAGGCCTACACATATACTTCTGCTGTTAAGTAGCTTGTAACTGAATTTTCACCATTAATTCACATCTGATTTAACAACTAACCCTCAAACATCTAAAGAAGGTCTTCTGATAATCTTCACAAATCGCCTTTACCGTCCTATCACCTTATTAATCGTCGTCATCTCCCCATTGTTGCATATATACACACACACACACACACACACACACACACACACACACACACACACACACACACACACACACACAGGTCATACATCACTGTCTCACATGATGTCAAAATGGGCTAACCCAAGGCTCTTTTTTCATGGACGCCACTTCCTTTGATCACATGTGTTTGGGAATCTCACTTCAACTTTTGTGGCATCTGGTAAAGGAATGTGGACAACAGAAACATTCAGAAAAAACTTCAACTTCAAATAGTCTTGAGTAACAAACGAATAGCATTACAGGCATCAAAAGAGCTAATCCATGTCGTCACAAGCATGTTTTTACTTCTTCTGAAAGCACATTTGACCTGGAATTATTGAAAGTTCCCAGAAGAAGTTCGAAAAATAAAAAAACGATCACAATAGGGTTGAATTTCATACTTCAAGATAATCGTAAATATCCTCACCTGAGTGAATCAAAGAAGTTATCTTACTTGCTATAAAGTATAGAAGTGAAAAATTAAGTCTTACTTTGAATTCTAATGTAATGTGTGCATGATGAACTTGTGATTTATGATTCATTTTAGGTTGTTTAAAAAACATTTTGTAGCATGATTGAAGTGATTAAATGTAATGTTACGTTGTTTCAGTATTGCTCAGTGCCATTTTAAGTAGTTCTTAAGATTTTTGAGTAATGAGTTTCACATTACATTTTCATATTGTCCCCTGCCTAAAATAGAGAATTCTTCATATCTAAATGTGTAACTTGTAGTATTCGTCCAGATGTAGTGGGTTTGGGAAGATTCCAGCCTTACTTTAACTAGCAAAAACCACATAATTGCAAATGAAAATGTGCATGTTTTTGGCTTTGATCCACTACATGTTGTTTGGATCCCAGCCTGTCTTGATGTTTCCGTTAGTTCCTTTATAGTAATAATAAAGCAGTAGCAGCAGATTGGGACATCTGCTCCATATTAAGTCATTCCATTAAGAGTTGACATCTATTCTGCGTGGATCGTGAGCTTGCGATGTCATGCTGGTTGATTGTGAACTCATAATGTCAGACGTCCATTGATTTATGGATCAACACAAATCCATTTATTACAACCTACAGTATCTGTGCCTGGACAAAATCCCCTGCGGGAACAGTTAAAGGCTTACATCAAATGTCATGGAGATTTGGAAGGGAAGCTTAAAAACTTTGTGCGTTTGTACACATACCAAGTGTGTTTATGTCTCTGTAGGACGTGCTGTGTGTCCCAAGACGTTTCTCAAGTCTGTGATTGAAAGGCGTTTTATCTTTGTCAGACACTTCACTATGGATTTCCACAAATATTATTAATAGCTAATCTCCTTTAACCCAGATTATCTGCTTGTTTTGGCCCCTTGTAGTGGGCTTCTTTGTTGAAGGAGGAGGAGGGGCCGGCATAGAGAATAAGCAGTAAATGTCAAACTGTTGTTTTCTGTTGCTTTTTACTATTAGCCTTGTCTCTCCTCCTGTTCCTCCATGACCACCTCCACATGTCTCCTGAGCCTGTTCACTGATTGGTTGCTACAGCCCAGGCGGAGCGCAGCAATTATTTCAGATGTGTTGTGCTGTTTTGTGAGGATGCAGCCTTGTAGAACATGAGTCTCACAAACATGTTGCATTATTAAATACAGTGAGAGCTGAAGGGAGTGTTATGAAGCCTCTTTAACTTCTATTAATGAAAGCAGAGTGAGAGTGTAGCACAGCCTCTTCTTTCCTGTGAATATCCAGTTGTGCTGGGGGGAAAAAAGCTAGTTTGTTAAGGTGATGTCGGACGTCTGCAAAAGGGCTGGTCACCATAGAGAAGGGGGAAGACTTGATTTTGTTCAAATACTGGGATAACAGCCCAGAATGTCAGATAATCTTCTCTGGATGGCATTCATAGTGTTGCACTCTGTGGTTCACACGAAAAGTGACAGAACTAGTTGTGTGACAAATACAAAAAGAGAGCTACTGACTGGAGACACGTTTAAAACCCTGCCCACCCACTAAACTCTTTTCTCTACTATGGCTAGTAATGGCCAGAAACTAAGAAAAATTGAATGGCTTTAGTTTATTTCCCACTTATTGGTTTTACATGATGAAAAACACGAAGAGCAGGAAGGCGGTCTTTTTGGGGTCTTCTGTGTCAGATCAAACAGTTACTACGAGCATGACAGCTATTGGTCTTTGTCGTCATTCAGTGACATTTTTAAACTCATGACCTTTGACTTATCAGTCTGTTGGGATGTAATTACTTTGTCAATTGTAGTCCAAATGTAACAAAGAAATTACACAAAGCGCTTCACAATGGAGCAGGTCGCCTAGTTTTTCATCTCATTCCCAGAATACCTCTGTCCAGCCATGCCTGTCACACAGGAGCTCTTTTTCTGTTTGAGAGTGGCGTCACACTCAAGAGCGGCTGTTTTTCACAAAGATTATGATTTGTGACCTGTTCGATGGTGTGTGAGAGCACTGGTGTTTTTAAATGTAAACAAAATGAAACCACGCTGATTTGGATTGATTGACACATATAAGGATTATAAGACATGGTGTGGGCAGCTTCCTCGTGAGATAAAAATCAGATGTGTTGTTTAGTTTGCCTTAATCTGACCCGTGTTGTAGTGGGACCTCAGTTAAAACAGGATTACAGTGTTATTCCTCCAGGAGCCGAGCCCAGGGATCTCTGAGTCTCTTCCCCGCCGAAGGCCTCTGCTGCTGGGCTTCACTGTCCATGCAGCGCTGCGTCCTCCTGGAGCCAGAGGAGGGATGCAGTGGAGAAAAGGAGGAAGTGTGTGTGGTGATAATGACGATCGTAACAATAGTTTGAATGTGGATTGGAGTGCGTGTGTTTGCATTTGCTGGGATGAGTCAGTTGAAGGGGGGGATGGTGGTATTGGCTCTCAGGAGGTAGAAGTGTGGTTTTTTTTCTACATATCAAAGGCTCCTTGCTTACATGATCCCACCCCCACCCTCGACCTCCCGTGGTGTGTGAGTGTGTGTGTTTCTGTTCCCGGTAAGCCAAGTATTGACACACAGCTGTCAACAGTGCTGATACACACTCTCCGGGGGGGAATCACCGACGTGCTTCACAGAATATTCTCAAAAAGAGACTTCTATGGATGCAAGGAAGCATTGAACCATGAGATTTCACTTTATTGAACAGTGATCTTTCAAATTGTAATTAGTTATTTGTTTGTTTGCATTTTACAAAAACGGCAAGGCAAATTATAAATATATTAAAATATATATACACATATTTGAATCAGATATTAAAACACTTGAACAGGAGAGGTGGAAAACTAAAAAACAAGACAAACTAGTTATGGAAGCTGTAAATAATCAACATCATGAGTCACAGGACAACAAATAAGAGGAACATGTAGAGAAAATGAGTTATTAAATATTATTACTGTGACTAAGAATACATATCAGAACTAAGAACAAAACCTTTGCTAAATCATAACAACAGTGACTGGTGGTACTGGGATCCACACGAATGATAAGAGATTTTAAATGTTTTAAAAACCAAAACGGGTTGATAAATTGTTGATAAAAGTGATGACTGTTTTGTTGATCAAACACAATGATGAATTCAAATGTGGTGTTTGATGTATTTCACAGTTACACTTACTGTTACTATTTTAATGCTAATCTACCTTCATTCTTCAATAGATTGGGTCGGAATGACACAGTTTCAGTTGTTGCATATATTAGGAATTTTATGGGAACTGATACATTGTGTAAAAGTTGGAAATCTCATAATTGCAGCTGTAGTGGAAATCAATTGACCTTAAGGGCTAAACATCCTCAGAAGGATTATCACTTTTCCACCTGTAAAGCAGATAGATAGATATACAAATAAAATAATACATTGAATACTCTACAATACACAATCTCACTAAGCTACAGAAATCTATAGAAATATACTACAGTCAAATAATGATATGTACATTACAATTGTTATTAAAAGGCACCTAATTAAAAGGCCCCACTGTTGCCGTGTCTCCCCCTCTGCTGTGCTGTGGCAGGCAGAGTCAGCCCGTCTATCCCTCCCTCCCCCCCTGCGGCTTCAGGCAGCCCTACTCCTCCAACCTCTCCAGCGCCTCCTCCTACTCCAGGTATCGTAGCCTGCTGGGCGGACCAAGCCAGATGCAGCCAAGAAAGTAAAAAAAAGCTAAAACAACAAGCTACGCTCTGCATCACCTACTCCTTTTTACAGCACATTTCAAAATGCCTGAACAGGAGTTTCCCCTGTTCAGCTTCTATGTCAGCTCTCATTGGTCAGCTGCTGTTATAAAGTCCGATTGGAGTCAGTGTGCTGTAAACAGGACGAGTTCAGTGTTACGCCAGAAGTTAGGAGACAAGCCGAGTCGAGGCAATCTGAGCCGGGCCACGCTAGACGCTGCTGCAGAAACACACTCTCTTGAGTACCATCAGGATATTAGTTTCTTTGTCCTTGCCATCACTAACATCTGTTTTTTTTTGTGTTCCTGATCCACGACACTTACCATTAAAACTAACGTGTGACATCCTGTTATGCTGTCCCATGCAGCAAGAGTGTTAGTTTTTCAAGGAGACCCATAGAAACAATTCATATAAAAGTGTGATCCTCTGTATCCAGCTGTGAGATTTAGAGAGCTACAGAGTCTTTATATTGTTCAGCCAGGTTTTTTTTTTTCTTTGCTCAAGCTGTGACTCTACTCTCAGTCACAGTGTAAGTCGGCGCTTGCAGCAGACCAATGCTTTCTTGCCACAGCGCGCTTTGCAAGTTCGTCTGTTGTCTCATACACACAGCCTCATCACACAGACACTGACGTTCAAACAGCCTCTCATATAGTTTGTTTCAAACCTGCATTGTGAAACGCAGGTGGGCATTTCCACCTGGAGTGTATACTTTTTATTAAATAAATCAGAGGGACTCAAAAGTCAAATCAAGTCATTAAAGTCAAATCAAGTCATATGATATGGATCCTTAATCTTCAAATCTTCTTTTTTGCTGACTGATGTTAATTGTGTTTACTAGTACCTGTAAGGTGCAGTAAACCCCACCTAGGAACATTACTCTGAGCAGGTTTCAAACAAACGCTATGAAAATGTTCATATATGAAAATAAGATCCTCACTCCAGCAGCTGCTGCTTTATCGTCAGTTATACTTATTTGACTTTGGTTCGAACAAAATTCCTAAAATGGTGTTCTATAATGCTTAAAGTCATTTGGATCATATGGCGCATGGTTACACTATTAATTGCAAATGTAAGATGTGAAGTCTGTATTCAGTCAGTGTACTTCCAACACAAGGCAGCCTCTAGGTGTGAAGCAATATGTTCACTCTCTGTAATGCGATGACGCCCTCTAGTGGTGACAGATGGTTACAGCTTTACTGAAGATATAAGAAAAAACCAAATCAAACATTCTAAGTGCCTTGCTCAACATAGATACCATCAACCAATATTTGTGTTTGCTGCTTTAAGAGCCTTTGTTCACACAGGCAGGAATCTTGAGTACAATGTGGTTCTTAATCGATTGACTTTTCCATGCTTTAAAGCTCTTTGCTTACCAAAATAGTCGCTCTTGCTTTAACGCTCATCGTCCTCCTCACTGACCCTGACTCAAAGCATTTCCCTGAACTTTTTTTTTGTTGCTCTCTGTCTGTCTCGTTTGTTCAACTCCACCAGGTTCCCTCACTCTCTGATGCTTGGCCCATCAGGCATGCATCCCACAGGGATCCCCCACCCAGCCATAGTGCCCCCTTCAGGCAAACAGGAGCACGATCATTATGACAGGAGCATGTACATGTAAGTATTGCCTCCATTCTCCATAACTCTTCACCATTTCCTTGTTTAATTATCCTTCAGTTTTTTTTCCCAGCAGGATTTGTATATCATTTGAGGCAGAAATGGCTGCTTTTGTGTTGCAATATTTAGTATATTGCAAAGTTGACTCACTTTATTTCATGCTAATGAACTCAAGTAGACATTTTGACTAGTCAGGGGAGGGTACTGAGCTATTTCAGTAATTGGATATACAGTACATTTAATAGGAATTATTGTGTACAAAAATGAGGAAATCTCATAATTTCAACTGTAGAGGACATGCATGTCACCCTAAGAATAGTTTGTTATGTTGTAAAATATGTCGCTTTATGCCGAAAGTTTAAAGAGGAGAACGCATTAGATATATGAAGCTACAGCCGGGAGACACTTAGCTTAGCTTAGCACATAGATTAGAAAAAGGGAAACAGCATGGTTCTATCCAATGATAACAACATCCACATAGCAGCCTCTCTAATCCTCCCTACCTAAAATGTAACATCTTGTCTTCTGGCTGTAGCTATATATAACGTCCACACTCTCTTCCTCCTCCGTCCTCAGGAAGCCGCAGGTGGAAGCCAAGCGGGAGAAGGAGCCCAAGAAGCCGGTCATCAAGAAACCCCTGAACGCCTTCATGCTGTACATGAAGGAGATGAGGGCGAAGGTCATCGCAGAGTGCACATTAAAGGAGAGCGCCGCCATCAACCAGATCCTGGGACGAAGGGTGAGAGTTTCTCACACACACACACACACACACACACACACACACACACACACACACACACACACACACACACACACACACACACACACACACACACACACACACACACACACACACACACACACACACACACACACACACACACACACACACACACACACACACACACACACACACACACACACACACACACACACACACACACACACGTAACTGAAGGTAGACTAATCCTGTTTCCAGGTCAGTGTGTAATTTGTACACATGAGGAACATGAGAGGACTGTGGTAACGTGATCTGCGCTCCCCTCACACACTGGTGCTGCTAAATCATAACAACAGTGGTGGTCCTGGGATCCACAAGAATGATAAGAGATTGAAGCGTGTTATGCTATGGGTACAGTCCAGCTGCGGATCATGGTGTATGGTACTCAACTGTGAAACCTTTTGTATTGTTGGAAATAGATCTAGACAACTTTATTGTCAATATTCCAGTTTGTGTGTACAGACAGAGATATATAGACTAAATGTATTTTAACGCCCAACATCGCATGCTCTATGGAAACTTAGAGCTAAAGTGTCATAATGATTGATGAAAGTGGGCGTGGCCTATGTAGCATTACATGCTATGTTATGTTTTGCTCAATTTGCCGGGAGCTGGGCAGAGGTAGAGACACACACACTGGTACGATCACTGCATGTCCCCATTGCTCACATAAAATGTGAGGCGAATCATAAAGGTTTGAACCCTTCAATGACTGCTGCACCTTTGCATACTATTTTTATAGAAAGTATATGTAGATATATTATTGGTATATATGTATAAATACTATTTGATTGACTATTTGAAACAGGAGTGGCATATGTAAATATCTAATGTGTTATTATGAAATGGATATACTAATAGTGTCTCTCTTGATTTCTGCTTGTTGTGTGTGTTTGCAGTGGCACGCACTGACCCGGGAGGAACAGGCCAAATACTACGAGTTGGCCCGGAAAGAGAGACAACTCCACATGCAGCTCTACCCCACCTGGTCTGCCAGAGACAACTACGTGAGTACTTCTTATCCACGCCTCGTCATCTTTTCTCCTCTTCATCTTTACATCTACAACTTCTCTGAGCTGATAAGTTGATCTAAAGGAGGCGCTCTCACTTGTTATGGAAAAGGCATGATTCCTATACCTGGGCTCTAGTGCGAGCCACCTTTTAGAATAAAGACCTTATTTGGACACTAAAATGACAAATGAAGTAGTTTAATAACCTCTTATAGTTTATTTAATCATCATATATGTTGTTACACTACTTTTGAATAATTACTTACTAAAAAAGTGTCCTTTAAAGTAATTAAAACTACAATATTTGTGCTGCATGTGGTGGTATTACAATTCAATTTTCCCCTTGGATGCAACAACTGATTTTCATTTTCTTTCAAATGAAAATAACCACCAATAAGTTGCTTTCAAAATAAGAGTAAGACAGCATGAGAGGCATTTTAACATTGATAGGTTAAATTATTATAATAACATTATTATGAAGCAGTTCAAGGAAGGAGAATGCTACTTTTGAGAAGAATACAAATTGTCAAAATCATAAAAAGGACAAAACATTTGATGCAACATACAGCAGGAGTCAGTCCAGCCTCTTTACTTCTTCCTCGCTGGTTTGATTCCCTGTCAATAAAACCAAAATGAAACGAGATGTATTCATCAGCCATAACTTCCTGAACTGGGTTTGATCATATGTATTGTTCTTACCTCGAAACTGAAAAAAATGAATAAACCTATCTCCTTTACTGGCTACTGTCTCAACAACCTGCATGATTATTGGCTCTCAGGCCTGTCAGTCAAAAGCCTTTAAACATAGCACAGACTTTGATAGCATGATTAAATAAGTCTCCCAGAATACGAGTCAAACCTGTGTGGTGCATGTGTTGTAGTCTAATGTTTTGGGATGTGCTGTATCTGGGCTGCTGTGTGCCTCTGATCTGTCAGTTTGCTGTTGAACTCTTGCAGGAGGCGGGCCTTAGCGGGGTCGCAGGGGAAAAGAGTAAAGCTGATTGGGTAGGGACACGTCTTATGGTGGATTTATGCCTCTGTGGTGGGAAAATATGTGAAGAGCTGCATGAAAGGGGTTGTGGGTATTCCTGTGCAAAGTTTGCATGCAACTTCCAAAAATCTTAATGACTCACACACTCCAGCCTCACATGAGCTGCAAAAGCAGATCTGATTGGTCACTTTTGAAAGCATTTCACCAAGTCTTGCACGTTGCCATGGTTATGACTACTAGTGTAAAACACTGAATCACACAGAGGTATAAATCAACCCCCTTTGCTCCACTAACAGAGAGCAGGGCCGCATGGCTGGCCTCGCTGCCTTAGATTCGTATCTACTTTTTTGGTGGGCATCCCTTTTAAAATACAGCACCTTCATTTTTGTTATTTGTAAAGATTAACACATGTTGTACAGAAACACAACTTTCTCACATAGTAGTCATTTGTTTTTCTAATATGTGAAGGTTTAAGTAAATGTATGAATACTTTCTAGCAGAAAAGGAGGAGCAAATTGTGTCATAATCAGGTGAAGTAAAGGCTTTGGTTGCAACAGAGGCTGCTTTTCAGTGACGTTAGATCGAGTGATTACCTGTCTACGCTTCTCTCTGCTCTTCTGTCTTCTCTCTACCTGAGCTGAACTCTGTGGGCGGGCAGGCATGGCACATGAGTTATGGTGACACTTTATTCGGGCTGTGGTTTATAACACGTTCTCTAACTTCTGAACGAGTGCTTCATGTCACAAACATGCACACGGATTCAGCTCTAATGTCTCATCTGGTTTCTATCTCTTTAATGTTGCATCTGACTGCGCAGCACCATGCAAGTTTACTGAGAAAATACTTCAAGATTAAAGTCTTAACCGTTTCCGTAGAGAGTGAATTCCAGGCTCACAGTTGGATAACCTCATGATGTTTTGATATGTTATAAACCAGAGCTCCAGTAAACTGTGTGTATAGGAGCTATTGCTGTTTGCATGGAGCTTTCTACGCACGGCACAACACGGTGGATGCTGTCTGATATGATTACTTCAAATGGAAAAATGTCATGACTGAGTCCTCCTGTGTGTCATCCACACATGGTGGCTTACTGACGGCAACAGTCGTGTTTTTAACGTTTTTACTGTAGGGGCATTGTAACTTAAAGACAAACATTTAGCCGTCACTTTCATGTGATCATTCTGCAGCTCTAAATATGGCTGGGCAATATGGAGACGGTAAACTTCACACTATTATTGATCAAATACCCCAATATTGATAATGCAAGGATATTGTAGGTTTAAATTGAAGACGATATGTAGTCTCATATCAGGATATTGATATATTATCGCTCTAAATGTTGTAGTTGTAAAGTACACTTATTGAATCACAACTCCATGAGTGTAAAGAAACCAAAAATATGAATCCAGAATCTTCATCTTAGGCACAGAGCGACAAAGTCCGATAAAGAATAGGAAAACACAAACTGTGTAATGACGACACTTGGCCTAAAGAAACCCCCTCCCCCCCCACCATCACCATCATCACCTCTCTCCTCCTGGGGTTTAAAAAAAAAACAACTACACTAGTGGACGTACCAGCAAAACAGGAAGCAAAGTTCCACACACCTCCCCCGCAGGAGGGTTTCTCCTCCGAGCCCAAACATAACACACACACACACACACACACACACACACACACACACACACACACACACACACACACACACACACACACACACACAACAACTGATAGTCAGTAAACCATAGGGTAAACACACGCTCTATGACAGGTGTGTGAGACCCTGTGTGTGTGAGACTGTATGTGTGTATGTGAGACTGTGTGTGTGTGTGTGTGTGTGTGTGTGTGTGTGTGTGTGTGTGTGTGTGTGTGTGTGTGTGTGTGTGTGTGTGTGTGTGTGTGTGTGTGTGTGTGTGTGTCACCATCCCTGACACTTCACTAACTTGGCACATACTGCTCACCCCTCTGCCTCTGCCCCATGCCCCTAACACGACCGCTCTAATTACACTTCTGTTCTTCACACACCCACAGTGGCTCAGTGGAAATCACGGGACTGATTATAATTATATGATAGATAGAACATGATGTAAATGGTGAATCAGCCAATAACAAAAAATAGTATATTTGTATTTAATGCAATCAAAGTAAAACATTTGAATGCATTTGTACAACGTCAATGTTTCTAATTCTCTGGGCTTTACAGTTTGTACAGAAAACATACAAACTGTAGGTATTTGTATGTACTTCTCCTGCAATACTTGCACATTAATCTTGCAACATTTTCTTGCAACATTTTTTCATTGTTTTAAAAATGACTTTTATTGAAATGTCAGTGAACTTGCATAGTTTATTTTTTTGCGAACATATTTCCCGATGTTTATGGGGACAACGTTTTCTTTTTGACTAGTGCAGTAAACTAATTTCCTTATTAAGTTGTGATGGGAATTTATCTCTCAAACACAAGGAATAAGTATCCCATAATAATGACTCTCTTTTATCTTGTACTGCTTTTGGTGGTATCACAGATAAGAAAATATTCCCTAAATAGCCCTAACCAGCGCCCTAACCATAGACTGGCCCTAACACATAATGTATGCATACTGTAGTCATAAACTGGTGTACAGTAGGCTATATGAGCGGCAGCGTCACATGACGTCTCTAGTGAGCAGCGCAGCAGCCAGTTGTTTACCGGCACTGATGCATTCACTAATGGACACTGCGTTGGCTGGTTGTCAAAACCGATAGGCAGGAGGAGGTAAACCAGCACAGGTAAGACTGACAAGATGCCCTGAAAGTGTTCCCGCTGAACAACGAGAATTCCTGTTAAACGGGACCGTATCTACTTATTCGCTGAAGATATAGCTACCTGAATTAGGAACATTTTCAAGCAACGGGACAAAATGAAGTCCCGTCTGTTTGGAGTCCCGGCAAAGTAACCGCATTTAACCCGGACATTACCGGAAGCTAGGAGGTTCCCATTCAAATGTAAAATCTAAATAAGCCATTTATTATTTTTATTTCAAAGATTTTATCATTTACCTCAGCTGTGACATTTTGTTGAGGGAACATGAATATTTGTTAGCCACAGTAACATGGTAGGCCATCATTTGGGAGCGGGTCTTATCAAAGAATAAACCAGCGTTAACCGAACGAAAGTAAAGAAAAAACAAGTGTACGGTATGCAAACGCGTAAATACGTTTTCCTTTTGAACTGGTCGCTCCATTTGCCTTTTGGTTCGTAAAGTCTATATTAAACACATGTGGGTTTAGTCAATGCTAGTAGCCTGACTTGACGTGTTAAGTGAAACACAGTTTGAGAAAGACAACAAAAGAGTATTCCACATTAGTGAAGTGTGGCTTTATTTTGAAAGTCATCAGCGGAAGTCGGGGTTAGTCATTCTCTGTTACTTGTCGCGGCTTATTTTACTAAGGAAACGCCGGCTTGGGATGCTTTGTAGCGTTTTCTTATTGATAGCGATGCTTTTTATGTTGTAGCAAACATGGGTCAATTATAGAAATGTAACATTGTATCAGACTGATCCCTACTGACCCAGCCTCAAAATGGAAATGATTAAAGCTAAAAGTGGTAATCATGAGAGCTATGTATGATATCATTCCACACAACCCACCCTTTATTGTTGTAGTGATTTATCCACCTTTGTTTAGCATCATTATCCGTATGCTGTAAATTATGCTTGCATATTTAGTTCTTTAAAAACATGTCTACTGCATAGTACAGGTTGAACAATAAGGTCACGTTTTGATCACAGTAATAAGATGCAAATTATTTGGCCTTGTCGAAGTTCACATGGTTACACATTTAAAGTGCAACCTCTAAATGTAAGCTTTCTTGCAAAAACATCTCAGGTAAAATTGACCAAACTTGGAAAATGTTACTGACAGTTTTATTATCCTTTAAAGGACATGTGTTTGAAAACAGTTTGGAAATAGATTTGAGTAATCTCAGGTAAATGCTACTCACATAAAATGACTAACAAAGCACTTATATACTAACAAAGCACTGGCTTATCTAAAACCAGTTGAGTAGCACTTGAAATGTTTTGGCTCTATGAAACCTGATGTACGATTCTGTTAGTGGATTGTCCGACCGGCCCACTTCGGTACCGGCCCACCGGAAAAACTCCCGGTATTCCCAATGGCCAGTCCGCCCCTGGCTAGAAGTCAACATATTAGGAAACAAACTGTATTAAAGTCAGATATTTAAAAATAAGAAAAGGGAAGAAGTAGATCAATGGTTTTCATTATCAGGAGCTCTGTCATGTTGACCTGGCCGTAGCTCTTTTAACTCTGTTTACTCAGTAACACTCAAACTGAACTGTGATAATGGTCATGGTTTCTGGGACGAAAACATACTCAGAAAAAGTCTGAAAAAAAGCAACAAAATGATCAGTGTAAGAGACGCGGCAAGCCTGCAACTAAAGATTATTTACATTGTCAATTATTTCCTTGGTGAATCCATTATTGGATTTTGTCTATAACATTTCTGAAATGAGTATCAAATACCCATCCCAGTTCCTCAAAGTCCAAGGCGATGTCTTTAAATATCTTGTCAGACCCAAACCCAACACAATTGCTTGATAAATTACTATATACTGAATCTGTTAAATAAGCAAGAGATACATTTTCTGTTGACAATCTAATCTTGTAATTCTTCAGCTCATAATGTAAAATAAACGATTAGCTTTGAAGTGATCTCAGCATACTAGATAAAAGCCGAAAAGCTGCTTGTGAAGTTTTTCTGAATTATGCGAGGGGAAGATATTGCACCTCCTTGTGTAAAAGGCCTCTTCCAACAATGTACTACTTTACACTTAACTTCCTATGGAGGGTGGGTGACACAAGGTCCGGGCCAACATTCAAACCAGGACATCACAATGACATGGAAAGAGCTTTGGTGTCTTCCACGTAGCAGCAGGGAAACAAACTTGCCGATCTTCTAATGAATCCAAAAAAAGTCACATGATTGCATCAAATGATGACTGTGACGAATGTACATACTTTTTTATCAATGTATTGCTAACTAAAGCATCACAAGGTCTGCTGCACACCACACCTACGTGATGTCTTCTTCTGCATTGTTGACGCATTTCACAGGGCGACGCACACAAGTTCACACACACGTAAAAAGACTCACACCACTAACACCTTTTTTAAAGGGGTCCCATTTTTCTCATACTGCCTGTGCCGCAGCACCTCTTTTCACCCTCTGTCTGTTGTGATTGGTCAACCGCTTAGAGATGTCATTGCCATTAGCCTATCACGGACAATTTGTTGGAGCATTACCCAATAGAAGCGTGAGTGTTACATAGTGATGTCATTATGTTATGCTAATAATCTATTGATTAAGTCCAATGGAGGCATTTCAGGCAGGGGGGGGAGTGTGTGGAAGAGAAACTCCCTCTGGGGGGAACACAGGGAATTTAGCCTTTGCAGACCATTGACATGCACAGAAGCCTTTATAACAAATTAAAGTGGTATCCCCCAAAGTTTGAATAAATCTGTGTTTTGATTTGTCTGTATAGTTCATGTTGTTGACCTGCGTGTGGGACAGTCTCATTGACTAATGAGATTAAGTCAACAGCGGTGCGGTTCTTTGAGTCATCGATTGGTCTGTTTTTGTCAGATAAACAGGTGTGTGGTGGTGAGTCACAGCATGTGGAACAGATGCCTAATGATTGAAGTGAAGCATGCACCCCACATGGACACAAGCACTGCTCTAATGGGAACACTGAACCCTCAGTCCCTTATATTTATAGTCATGTTATTGTACTGTAAAGTGCACATTTCACCCCTGCTTGTACACTTGTGCTATTATACCCTGCTCTTATGCCACTTAGTCCAGAATATTCTCTGAAGTTACACCATCTTCAGACCATTTTCACAACATGTGTCCCTTATATAACTTCATTATCGAGCAAACTCTGTGCAATTCAATCTTTTATTTGTGACCACATTTGTAAACATTTCTTCACAAGATGACACCAACACACAGATACTATGGTTAATACAGAAAAAGAGATAAGGGCAATCCATCTCCCCATCCCACCCCTCAAATCTACAAATAAACGCTTTTTTTTTTGCAGAGGATTAAGTTGTTTATTTTAACATAACATTTGACATCATATTTGCTGATGTCTTCCAAACTTCTTTCCATATGCCCAGTTGTGCATGAAGTTCTATCTGATGTCATGTTTTTGTATGTGAGCTACAGCTGTGGAAGAGACATTTCTACCCAAGTAAATGAAGTTATACCACAGTGTAATAATATTCTGTTAACATATACAAGTCAAATGTCGCTTGTGTAAAAGTACAAAAGTAGATGCATCAAAACATGTAAGTACTTATTTTGCCAAATGACCAATTTCAGAATAGTGTTTTTTTTTTTTAACGGGACTTATATTTGGATGTCAAATTAAGTTTTGCTGCTGCTCCAGTCTGTGGAAGTACATTCCTTTCTGCTTCGCCAGCTTGGGGCTACAGACCCCCCTCCGTTGTTGGTAATGGACTTTAGAAAAGTACTTCATACAACCCCACTTTAAAACATCCTAACTCTCCCTTTAAATCCCTTTAAGGCTGGTACATTTCTCCTTCTCTGCAGTTCATGTTTCCACCCTCGCTGCCCTTTCTGTTATCTGTTCATCCCAACCCTCTCTGCTCATGACCTTTCTTTCCCCCCTGTTACACACACTAGAGATTACATTTACTGTAGCAACTCTTCTGACTCACCACTCTGGCATTCAGCTCCTCTCCGCGTCACCAACAATGACTTGTTCCATCTATGTGTGTTGGACAGGTTGCTCCAGAGGTTGCCAGGCAGGGACTTCAGTCTGCAGCGTCCACGTCTGTGAGGGTCTGAGACGGCGGTACCATGGCCGACCAGGAAGAATCCCAGAAGATGAACGGCTCCTCCCATCGTGAGGAGGCTCCCAAAGAGAGCATGCAGCTGAAGAAGGAGATCTCGCTGCTCAACGGAGTCAGCCTGATCGTGGGGAACATGATCGGCTCCGGCATCTTCGTCTCCCCCAAGGGCGTGCTGATCTACAGCGCCTCCTACGGGCTGTCGCTGGTCATCTGGGCCATCGGGGGGATCTTCTCTGTGATAGGGGCCCTCTGCTACGCTGAGCTGGGCACCACCATCACCAAATCAGGGGCTTCTTATGCGTACATCCTGGAGTCATTTGGAGGCTTCATTGCATTCATTCGTCTATGGACTTCTCTGTTGATCATTGAGCCAACCAGCCAGGCGGTCATAGCCATTACGTTTGCAAACTACCTGGTGCAGCCGCTCTTCCCGACGTGTGAGCCGCCGTACGCAGCGTCCAGGCTCATCGCTGCCGCCTGTATATGTGAGTGCTGTCTGCTCATGTCTGTGTTCCTGGAGGAGTAAATACAAAGAGCATCTCTGAGGTATTTCTGTCTTCCCCCAGGTCTACTGACGTTCATTAACTCTGCCTATGTGAAGTGGGGCACGCGCGTGCAGGACACTTTCACCTACGCTAAGGTGGCAGCTCTCATCGTCATCATCATCACAGGCATCGCCAAGCTGTGTCAGGGTCAGTGATGTCTCTACAACATGTACCTTTTCAGTGTTCTTTGTTTTAAGACGTGCTCAGATTTAAAGCTGGGTTAATGACTAATACAGTGGTGAACCGTGTCTATCACAACTGGACCTTCTGTAGTCAAACACACCCCCCCCTCCCCCGGCCGTTATAATGTCCGTCTTTTCACTGAATTGTCGTCTTGAAAAGGGTACTCACAACAATTCCGCAACAACATCATCTTCGCCTGTTGCACTTGTCATTTCAACGTTAAAAACAATAAAACGGCATTAATTGCTTCGTGGCATTCATCTAGATCCTCTGTCTCGAGCCAGTGAACTAGCGGGTCTTCTAGATCTAGAGTACCCTGGAACCGAGGGGAACTCTGAAAGAACACGCCCATTGGCTACAAATCAATATATGATTGGTTAATCAAACTGTCAGTCCAAACGTACGCTCTCATTCAGTGCAACGGCCAGGGCATTCTATCNGGGTGTCGTATTGTCATACTGATATTCTGTACAAACTGTGAAGTCCACTGAGACAAATGTAACATGTGTGATATTGGGCTATATAAATAAACATTGATTGATTGATTGATATCAAGGATATAGAATACCTTGGTTGAAGGATATTCTACCCAGAGACCCAGAAACAGATCTGATTGTTTGCTTTCTTTTCTAACACAAAACCACTGAAATGCGTAGTGCATGGTCCGAGAAGGACAAACAAATCAACGTAACACTGTAATATTACAGATCAACAACACAGATACGATTCTCATTTATTCATTTTATATACATTTTATTTATATAATTAAATCTATGTTTTGTTTGTTGTATCTGAGTGCTCCAGGGTATTCTCTGAATACCTTGAAGGCCCTGACGGTTTGCCACTGGACTAATATCTTCTATACTCATATAGACAATTTCATATCACGATAAAACAATATACAACAAGATATAGCATTTATTTTTCTTCTGGATAGTCAATAATTAAATATTCAATTTTAACATAACCCCATGGTAGAGCCTTGTTTTGTTTACTCCCATGTTTATAAAATACTCGGTAAATGAGAGGTACATTCTTATTTGAATTTAGAACTTGAACCATGAATTAAATTAAATACATTAAAAAATATAGAAAATATGTTTACATGCATGCATTAAGAAAGAACGGAATATTTGTCATTACACTATGGTGCTCCACTCCACTATCGAGTACTAAAACCCTGTTGTTTAAACCAAAATGTTGGTTTCCGAATGGGTACACACACTATTATATATATCCCCCATTATTATGTCCTGAGCTGTATTGTATTGTATTCTGGGTAATGTAAAGCGCGACGTAAAAACAAATCCACCATCGGCTGTTATTATCAATATAGACACCATAGCAGTGTATCATGTTATCTTCATATATGATTTCATCATGCATGACTCTATTGAGAAGACGCCATCATATCAGCCTGCCCTTGCAAACTTTTACTTACATTTTAAATACAAAATTAAGCACAGGAATTGCTTTACATTTCATACAACCTTACCAGTCTGAAGTGGATTATTTAAGAATTGTTTTCAGTTCTTAAAGCCACAGGGAACCCTCTCGTATCTCATGTGGCAGGTTCCTTTAGTTAATGGCTGAAACGGTACACACCACACTGACTATACAGGAAGTTTAAAATCCCACGATCTATCAACGGTGGGATTATAGGATCAATGCACAGAATTATGATCATTTTGTATCAAAAGTATCTTTAATTATTGTGTCTCTCTTTTAGGTAACACAGCCAACTTTGAATCATCCTTTGAGGGATCGTCTACAGACCCTGGCCACATCGCGCTGGCGCTCTACTCGGCCCTCTTCTCCTACTCGGGCTGGGACACTCTCAACTTTGTCACTGAGGAGATCAAAAACCCTGAAAAGTAACTTTGGTGCTTCGATTTCTGTAGAAGGTGTGGACCCAATACTTAAAGAGCCAGCTAACAATCCGATGTGGTGTGTTTCAGGAACCTGCCCTTGGCCATCGCCATCTCTATGCCCATCGTCACCATCATCTACATCCTCACTAACGTGGCCTACTATGCTGTGCTGGATGCTAGTGCTATACTGGCCAGTGATGCAGTGGCAGTGGTGAGTTAAGCAGCTGTGAGGAAGCCCTGAGAGGCACGGGAGAAAGATAGGTACCATTCATTTTCTGATATTTCTTTCCTTTGTTTATGACTAAAGAAAAGCTGAAAGAGAGTGTATGCCCGTACGGTATCATATTTCTAAGTTTATTCATTATCATTGTTTCATCTGTGATACTTTTTTTTAGTTATGTAAAAGAAAAAATGTAAAGATTATTAAGCTTTTATCTCATCCTTGAAAGCCAGTGAGAACAATGATGTTAGCCTTATATATATTGTTTGTTGTAGTTCTCATTTGGCGACATAAGGCTAACGTGCACACCCACGCCATATTCTAAATGGGACTCAAAGCGTTCATGTTTACTTCCAGGTAAGTTTTAATTTCTTGATACATTTTACTACAAGGTATGTAACATTACTGTAATATTAAAATATATATATCATTCTTTATTTTAGCTAAAAATGTATTTTAATCATATCAATTTAAAAAAGAGTAATTTAGCAAAATGATTAGGGCAAAATGTTTCCCACCGGTTTCACAGATAAAATAAATAAATAAAGGAACTAAGAAAGAACCCGTCAGACATTTTTTCCCCTGTTATGAAATCATACACAAAGAACCACTCAGAAAGAAAATCCACAAAATGTTTCCCCCTCACTTGCCTCATATGCAGATGAGACAGAGAACTGCTGCATGTGTTTAAGTTGAAAGTGCAGTTTCTTAACCTGTGTGTGTGTGTGTGTGTGTGTGTGTGTGTGTGTGTGTGTGTGTGTGTGTGTGTGTGTGTGTGTGTGTGTGTGTGTGTGTGTGTGTGTGTGTGTGCGTGTGCGCAGACATTTGCAGATCACACTCTGGGTGTGATGAGCTGGACCATCCCCATCGCGGTGGCTCTGTCCTGCTACGGAGGACTCAATGCTTCCATTATAGCTGCCTCCAGGTACTCTGAGCACCACAGACACAATCTGCACGGGTTATTCAATAATATCCTTCCCTCAGTGTTATCCGTCTTCATTTCTGTTTCTTGTGTGCAGGTTGTTCTTCGTGGGATCTCGTGAGGGTCACCTCCCAGACGCTCTGTCCATGATCCACATAGAGAGGTTCACCCCCATCCCTGCTCTCATCTTCAATGTACGAAAACAGATCCATTATTATTGGATTCTAGCAGAGGAAGAACAGGAAACTTCAATTTAGCCCACATCAATCACTAGGGATACTTTTAGCTTTTTAAGTTATCGCCTGGTTTGGCTGTGTTATACATATTGCATCATTTATGGCAAAAGTGTGAGGTCTTAAGAGTTAAATGTATGAGGAGAATACAATGGAGTGTTTGAGACTGTCACTCACTGTTTGATGTCTCCCTTCCTCCTATGTCCTCTGTGCAGTGTATCATGTCTCTGATCTACCTGACAGTGGAGGATGTGTTCCAGCTCATCAACTACTACAGCTTCAGCTACTGGTTCTTCATGGGGCTTTCCATCGCCGGGCAGATCTACCTGCGCTGGAAGGAGCCCGACAGACCCCGACCTCTCAAAGCAAGACCCTTTCTTTATTATCTCCTAAATAAGGATTTTAATATCATATTCAAGGTTGATTTTTTTCTTCTAAATGTTTCATTTAATTATCTCAGAGGATTTTTATTTTTGTCCCCTCTTAAATATAAATAGATTATTTTTCTCCTAAATTTTCATTTGAACATTTTTTGGAATATTCAATATTTGATCTATTAAATGAATGATTTTATAATTTTAGGGAATATTCAAGATGTTACCTCACATTTTGTATTTCTTTTTGGAGGGGGGTTGTACCACTTTAATTTCGTAGAATATCAAAGTTTGTTTCTTATAAATGTATAACTTTAATATGCAGAATTCCGTTTTATCCAGAATATGACTCCCCTCAGGCTAAATGTTGTCTTTACTTCCAATGACCATGTTACTCTGTCATGTCAGAGCCAATGAAGACTAACCAGTCTTGTCTTGTGTTTCTCTCCTTAAAGCTGTCTCTAGTGTACCCGGTGATTTTCTGCATGTGTACTGTGTTCCTGGTGGCGGTCCCTCTCTACTGCGATACCATCAACTCCCTGATTGGCATTGGCATCGCCCTGTCAGGGGTCCCAGTCTACTTCCTGGGCATCTACCAACCAGAGTCCAAACGGCCCCCCATCGTCACCAAGCTACTGCGTGAGTGCACTGCACATCCTGAACACACCAGGCACTCTTCAGCTGCCCCCCCCCCCC